GTGAAGATCCATCGACATCCAACCACAGACTTCCCAGGAGGCAAAGAAACAAGATCCCAAGTACCATTGTTCTGAAGAGCACACAGTTCATCAAGCATGGCTTGTCTCCAACCAGGGTGGGCCAAGGCATCACCTACATTTTTAGGAATAGACACAGAGGAAAGAGAAGAGAGACAAGTATATTGGGAGGGGGATAACCGGTGATAACTCAGAGTAATATAATGAGGGGAAGGATTACGAGTAGAACGATTACCTTTCCGGAGGGCAATAGGGAGGTCAGACTCAAGTGGTGGGGCCGGAGGAGACGAAGGAGGTGGCACCGAAGTAGAGTCGGGTGGGAGTCCAATGGGAAGGCTAGAGCGTTGCCGACGATGATAAACTTGAAGTGGAGGCGGAGGCGGAGGTGGGGGGTCGGGTGACATAGCAGACACAGGAGGAGTATCAAAAATAAGAGGTAAGGGTGAAGGGGCAATGACAGGTGTAGGAGAAGAGGAAGAAGATGAAAAGTAGAGGGAAGACTCAAGAAAGGTGACATCAGCTGAAATTAAGTAGCGACGAAGGGAGGGTGAGAAACATTTATACCCTTTTTGAGACCTAGGATACCCTAAAAAGACACATTTGTGAGACCGAGCGGATAGTTTGTCAAGACCAGGACTGTGATTATGGACAAAACATGTAGATCCAAAGACGCGAGGTGGTAGAGGGTGGAGAGGTTGAGTGGGAAATAAAATAGAGTGAGGTATTTGGTTGTTGAGGACAGTAGATGGCATTCGATTGATGAGGTAGCAAGCAGTGAGGACAGCATCACCCCAAAAGGGTTGAGGAACGTTACCATGAAGTAAGAGGGTGCGAGTGGTCATTATAAGTGACTGTTTCACTACATTAACTTTGATATTCTGATACATTGGTAATGAACCTTGTAATCTACTGTTATTTGTTAAATCAAATTAAGTAAAGGTTGAGTGTTAGTTATCTTGGTAGGTTTTAAAAAGAAGAAAAGTATAGGACTTAAAGCATCTTCATCCTAACCATTTAGGAATCCAGTGATTTGATTGAGGAAGATCATTGCACCAAAAAACTATTCCACTATAACCTCTGGTCAACGTCAACAGATACAGATATATGTTACTAACCTTAACCCTATAATATGAGGCAATGGTCCTTAATATTTATCAATGAAAAATTTCTATTTAGCTTAAGAAATTTATCCCAACAAGAGATGTCATAACCCACCTTATGTTAATATAATTTTTGTTTAGATGCCTGTTAAGTAATTTTATTTTAACTTTTTTCAAAAATGCTACATGTGCTGTCTCGTTAAATGTTTTTCTTTTATCTCTTGTAACTTCTATTCTTTCATACAATTCATGCTTTTAATCTCAATATATTATTTCTTAAATTACACAATTAAACCAATTAAAATCAACCACTAAAATTAATTTAATAATAAGAAATTGAAATAATATGTATAAGATCTTAAATTCTAAACTTGTTATAATTATTGAAAAAATAATCAAATTCACTAAAATATTTTCTTCTTTTATATTTATTTTCTTATAATTAGGGATGACAATGGAACTTTATAGAAGTGGATAATAGACAATCCGTCCTTGCCCACCACATAAAAATCCATTCTGCGAGTATTATACTTATAAATTTTATAAATACTCACAAATGTCCATAAATATTTAAAGATAAAAAGTATTATAAATAAATTTAAGTTCATATTAAATGTTAATTCTATTGAAATATTAATGGTAAATAATTAACATTAAATTTTGAACTTACATTTTAACATTAATTTTGTTGAAATATTAAAAATAATTTAAAATAACATAAAATAAAATATGTATATTTAAATAATTTTAATTAATAGGTAGTTATAAATATAAATACTATCATAATTATCTCATCCTATTTATAAATAGATAAAAAAAATATATGTACTAATTATTCATAAATACATATTTAAATTATGTATTTATTATGTGTCACAGATGTTATTTATGAATAATCACAAGTCACAAATACTTGTTTTTTTATCCTCTACTTACAGCTCTATCTATACCAACTTAACACTAAACTAAAACCAATATTATAATAAAAAGTGGTGCAAGTATTGCGAGAGTCAACTTTCAAATATCACCCACTTCCTATTTAGAAATACATTAAAAAAATTCTTACAAGTAAAGAAACAAGTACAACGCCGAAGTAACTTGATACGAATATAATATTTGTGTCTTTGTCAGCAAGACACTTCAATTAAAAAAAATGTTGTAAAGTTACTTTGTAGGGAGGTTCTCAAAGATGTTAAGTTAGAAGGTAGATTGAAAGAGATAGTCATGTAAACCGTGTTAGTATTTATTTTTGAAATATTGCATTTTTTTGCAAAATAAAAGGAAAAAGAAAAAAACGTTAGTCTAATTAAGTGTTAATAAGGCGAAAAAAAAAAAGTGAAAATCTAAGTTAAAATTTTATTTTTGTACAAAAAAAGGAAAAAAGAAAAAATAAGAAGATTAGTTTAAATAGGTATTATGGTAAAGGGGGGAAAGGGTAGAAATACAGGGGGTCTTTGTCATGTTAAAACTTTTGTAATAATAGATTGTTTTCAAGAGGATACGTATAGGAAATAAAAAAATAATTAAGATTATTTTTATTTATTTATAAACTAGTGGAGAAACAACCGTTTAATATGCTACAAACAAGAAAGAAGTAAATTGAAAAGAAAAGAAATTTATTAATAAACAATTATATGACATGGCACCAAAATTGTTTTCTAAAACTCATTATAAACTATCAAATTTCTTTTAAAAAAAATGTTACAAAAACCAATTAAAAAACATGATCTTTCTTATTGTGATAGTCAAGAGACCCGTGCAATGCACAATTTCAAATCCAGTTATGTTATAACTTCGCTCTCTGAATCTAAAGTCTTAACCCACTACATGGGACTAGCACCAATCTACATAGTACTTTCACATATGGCAACACCCAACCAATGATCAAATACATGCAAATATAGAATTAATTATCTCAAAATGCACCAACATTAACGTTTTATTAACAGCATATGAACTAAATCCAGCAGGAACACATGGTGTGATGAGTTGAATTAGGCCAAGGCAAACGTTTGTGTCAAAAAAGTGAATCTAGCAACAAGGCTTGTGTGAACTTCAGTGCTGCAGACTCAGGCAAGCATATGCACACAATCATGGAACCACCACCACCATAATCAGCCTCCCCTTCAGGCAGAAACACACAAACTTGAGGTGTTGGTGTTAAATCTATAGGACCAGCATAGAGTGGCCTACCCCACCCAAAATCAGCACACTTGTATATGGAGAACCTAGTCCATTGAGTTATTGTTAGTTTTCCACCAAACTCAAGTTGCCTTGGCCTATCCACTTCAACAAAATCCACAGTGGACCTCAAATACTCCTCTGAGACACTCTGCCTTGCCTCACGAACCAAACGTGTGGTCTCTGGGAGCTTCCCATGCACAAGCTCAGAGACACTGCTTTTTGTGCATGCAACACACACCACATTGCCATAGAACCCTTCTCTCAGTGGAGGGTTCCTAAGCTTCTGTCTAGCATTGACTGAAAACGTTAGCCTGAGTTGGTAATCTAGTGGCCTCACATCAAGGGCCTTCACCCATGATCTCCAAATGTGTGCTGCCATTGCATCAAAAGTGGTGCAGCCTGCAGCATCATACGGCTGAGCGAGGGCCTTCACGCGGTTCTGGAACTCGCGCTTGATCCTGTAACACTTCTGAACAGGCTTGGTCTGCCACAGTGTCATGGTGAGGTTGGAGCCCTCTTCAATTCTCATGAACTCCATGTGGGGGAATTTCACCACAGGTGGATCACGTGGCCTGAAAATTTCCCTGTCCCAGCATGGCTCAGGGTCTGTGACCAGAGACCCTTTTCTTGCAGTTGCAGCCCATGCTCCTAGGAACTGCATAGCTCCTAGGCCATCACAGATGCAATGGCAAAGCCTCAAACCGAGGCTGAATCCACCACAGCTGAAAAGGGTAACCTGAGCAATCACCAGTGGCATTTCAAGGACTTTGTACTGTTCCTCATTGGGGAACTTGAAGATCAAAGGCTCCCAAGCAGGGTTTGGAGCTGTGAGGTCTCCTAATTCGGCCAAGGCAATATCTGATTTTGCCTCAACAATGAGTGCTCCTTGTTCTGGTCCAAAGAACACTTCTAGCTTACCATTCTTGGTCTCTCTGAGCCTCCCTGATAGAGGGTAATAAGGCACTAAAACATCAGCGAGAGCACATTGTAGTATTTCTGTGACAGCTTTTTGGGAGCAAGAGAAAGAGGAAGAGGAACTCGTGTTGTTGTTGTCTGATTGGTAGAAGTAGACAGTAGGTGTGAAAACACGAGCTCCAATCATGTCATCGAGGTTGGAAAGGTATAAGCTGTCACCTGGTTTAACAGGAATAGGCCTTGATGGCATGACAGAGAACATTTTATCAATGGTTACAGGAATGGTCAAGTGATGGAGATGGAGCTCTTGAACCCATGGAGGAGCCATGAGAAGGTGCTGAGGTCATGTGAAAATGGCTGCATTAATTTGTAGAGATAAAATTTGTGAAAGCATGCAAAGATAGATGGGTGGGGTAGCTCCACTGGTAAAGGAAAAGAAAGATGTAAAGAGACTTGAACTAAATAAGGCGGGGTTCATGAAGATTTACAGGTTTGGTGTTGGTGACACAAAAATGATATTTTATTTCCCTCACCAATTTACCATCTTTGTATGACTTACTTAATCCTTTATAATATTAAAGTCATTATGCATGAGCTTAGTTACCTCCATGGATTAAATATATATAAGCATTTCTTAATACATAAAATAAATGAGATACAAATATCTTTGTTAAGCATGTGGTTACAAGTTTGATATCATATTTAATGTGAATGAAAAAAAATTATTCAAAAAAGTCAATTTCTTAAATAGATCTCATACATGAAAAAATTTGTCTTTAGCTATTTTCAATAGATACACTTGGGAAATCAAACATTAAAAAAAAAAAAATCAGTGTTAAATACATTTAAAACTAGATGTAATACACATGACTTTAAGTATAAAAATATAATTTGATATAAAAAAATATAGAGAAATAAAGTTTTTGACAGTTTATAATAATTATAAACAATTCATTGTATATAACATTTTCAAATATAATTTTAATAATTTTTCCTCAAGGTACCATAGCTAGCATACTCTTACAGGATAAGAATAATAGATTTTTCTACCAAGAATACACAGAAAATAAATATTAGATTAAAATGAAAATAGAAAGAAAAAAAATGATACTTTTACCTTTTGCTTGATATTATCAAAAGAGCCCAATCTATTATTTGCCAACCATCAGAAATGATAATAGTATTAATTTTAGTTAATGACCCTAAACAAATTAAACTTAAAATAGATTTGATTCATTGTTTCAATATCATTAAATACTGATTTAATATAATTGACTCCATATTTCATTTTTTTTTTAAATATAGAGTTTTTTATCTTATATATATATTAACTAATATCACTATTTAACAAAATGTGTTTTTCATCAAAGAACAAATTTTTATAAAATTTTCAAATTATTTTCTCTATCGTATTTCTTTTTGAAGTTTCCGTGATCAAAATTTCATAATTTTAAGATAGAGTGGGGACTTGGTAATAAAAATTATATGAAAAGTTTTTATTTATAGGACCCATTTAAATATTCACCCAAATTGGTTTTCAGCAGCTCTGCTGAAATTTCATACAACAGAGGATTATGTAATTAGAAGAGTATTTAATGACACATTCGCTTGTCATCATGATTCCAAGACCACATGACATTGATAAGGACCATATCCCAGAATTAACTCGTGGTTGCCCGCATCTAACCTAAACCTTTTACAAAAATGAGATGCACAAACATGTGTAAACTCAGATGGCAGAATCTAACTCGAGTCTTGAAATCAGGCTTCGTACTCTGAAAATAGAGCCTGATTTGAAGAACGAATCAAAGATATTTGGCATTAGAAAGTGACCAAAGCAGATGACAAACATATAATCCTGTTCCCTCAGTAAAATTAGAAAAAATCTGGCTCAAACTCAACTTATCTTAAGCAGCTATGGATGTTTATTTTGCATTAGCAAATGAACAAAAAAGCATAAACTCATATGTTGATAATAAAAGACATTAAAGACAAAATGTTTTACATTAGAGAAGAAACAAATACTGTCAGCCTGTTTACCGTACTGGCTGCTGATTGTAGTGTGCCTTCTCCTTTTTCTTGGCTGCAGCAAGCTTTGCACTCCTTGCTGCAGCTTCACTAGCAGCTGCTCGTGCAGCAGCATCCATCTCCTTACTTGACTTTTTCTTCTTCATTGAAGTAACTTTCTTAAGCCGCTCTTTAACATCAATGGAAGACACATCCTCTGCCTTCTCTATGCCAGCAGTTTCAGAAGTCTTGCTTCCAACATCCATGCCATCAGACTGGTCTTGTGATTCTTTCTGCTCCTTTGAAGATTTATCCTTCTTTTTCTTCTTTCTTGCACTTTTGCTTTCCACAGAAACATTCTCCTTTATCACTGCACCATTTTGATCATTTTCTTTCTTCTCCACACCTGCATTTCAAAAGGTTAGATAAATATAAATCTCTAGTATAAGATCTCCTAAACAAAAAAAATAATTGGTCATTTTAGGAGGACCATGTTAATTCTTCTTGCATAGTTGCATATTCTGTACAGGGTGAATGTATACATGTGTTAGCTCAAGCTTTCCTGGCTAAATACAATAGTTTAACCCAAATTAATTGGTGATAGCAATCTATTATCAGAAATGATTGAGTCCAGAATTAAGGATACAGTAATAGGAACATCAATAATACAGGATGTATTTAAAAGGATATATAGATGGAACAAACATTTTAAATTCCCACACATAGCATGAAAGTTAATGACAACTGCAAACACGTGCACTTATACAACTATGAAGGAAATATGAAGTATAATTCTTAAGTCTTAACCAGTTAGGACTTGAATCAGGAAAGCTTTATATGGAACCCATAAGAAAATTTCATTTAACTCCATATTTCATTAGAAGAACTAAATAATAAAAATTGATTTAAAAATGTCTAAAATATTATATTACCATGGGAATCATCATGGCCACTGGGTTCTCCTTGAGTATACCCTAGCTCAGCCAAAACAGCTTCAAGCTCTTCAAGCCCTTTCTTCTTCAATTCCTTTTTAGAAAGTTGTCTTTCAGTGTCTTTCGTAGCCAATGAGGGTTGAGCAGGCTTATCAAGAACAGGTTTAACATCTTCCGGAATCTCCAAGTCGTTTTCATGGTCATCCTCAACGTCATCTTCCTCATCATCAAAACCTTCTTCGTCGCTCTCACTTTCCTGTTATTTACCAAGTCAGTCAGCTTGTTAGTGTCAAACTCACTTGATGATTTCGTTAAATGACAATGACCCCCACAATAAGTCACATGCATACTGATGGAGGTTTAGGATAGAAGTTTAGTTTGGATAAAAAAGAAGAGAACAACACTTAAACTTTTGATCTATTAAAAGCATGAAACTATAACCTCATCATCTAAATGTCAGATGATTTTATTCAGAGAAAGAAGTCAAATTATCATTATTTCTGAAAGCCATTTAAAAGCCCATGAAAAGAACTTCTGTGGCAAGCATGCACTAACTTCATATTTAAGTTTGATTCATACAACTAATATATAATATTTAGCATAACTGTAAATTGAACTTTTTATGCCAGGTGCCTCCATTTTGCTTCTTGTTTGATATATTCCTCTGAATACTACTTTTTCTGTTCTTTTGATCTTTTCCTCATAGTTAAAGGAAAAAGAAAATGGCGGCAGAAAAGGTCATTTATGTAGAAATGAAGCACACAGACAAAATTGAATTTTCAAATTTCCTAAGATAATTTAGATTTCCCCATATATATAGGAAAATTACTCTACAAACTGGCATGGCCATACTGTGGTTACCCCAAGCAAAAGCAAGACAACAACATTGACCATAAACCGACTTAATCATTGGTAACAAGGAAGTTAACCACCCTCGTGACACAACACATCCTATAACAAACTTGTCACGCAGATAACAACCCTCTCTCTCCAACGGTTCCCACATCACCCTATAAGCATCACCAAATGTCATAAGGTATATTCACATCCCTTTCACCCTATCATTACTTTACTAAGCCACAAATTGACTTGAGTGTCAGAGTGTTTACACGTGAACGCCACCCTTCTCCTCCAACCGTGGCACACTACACCGTCAACCTGGCGGACCGCTTCATCACCATTCAAACACTAACCTATCTTGACAAATATTAACAACATGTATGCTATTGCTACCAATTATGGCGAGGTACATGCAGGACACAATCCCATCGTAAATGGACTAATACCCAAGTTATTCTAAGAATATATAATGGCCATTTCAGGTCCAAAACAATGCCACGGTTATTGCTAATGCTTAAAAATGCACGAGTAAGACCATTAGGGCATGTTTGGATGCTCATCAGAATCCACATCTAAGCCAGAATCACATCAATTAATGAAAAAACTACTCCTTGTTGCTTCTTGCTCCTGTTGGATATGCAAAAAGAGTGCTGATCCACTTATTTTATTCGATTATAAACACACTAAATGAATAACATAAATTGGACACAGTATAGTTATATTCTAATAAACAATCAAAGAAAAATTTATATAGAGCCTGTTTGGGCTTCACTACTAAAAAAAAAAAAAAAAAACTCTTTATTTTCATTAGATAAACTCTGAAAGCACTAATACTATAAGATAAGATTTGATGAGAGTTGTGACCTCTGCGGCGGCTTCACTTTCATTGGCTTTCTCCGGATTCAGCCACGCGGATTCAAGAGGAGCAGTGGTGGCGTAGTAATCGTCGTCGTCTTCGTCATCAACATCGGCCCAGGACTTGGCCGTGAGGGGAGTGGGGGCCCAAAAAACGTCCTTCTTCTCGGGCTCTTGAGATCCTCTGGGCTTGGAAGAGGCTTCGTCCTTGCTCTTGCTCTTCTTCTTCTTCAAGCTTCCCAGCGCTGCGAAAATGTTGCTGTTGTTCCCCGCCATCTCCCTTGTACTGTTTCCTCGCCTTTCCGTCACCGGTTGCAGAGTTCGGATTCAGGGGCAAAATTGGAAAGTTCAAATTGAGAAGCGAGATTTTAGGGTTTGCAGAGGACGCCGAGAAGACGATGAAGTGGACTTGAGCTGAAATGAAGCATTTGCAGTCGGCAGCATCTTATCATATATCTTGTGTTTCAATCTATTTATATTTATATTATGCTATATATATTAAAAATAAAAATAATAAAATAACATAATAAAAGCTACTCTCTTTTTACAACAATTAAATGCTCCTGCAATGAACATTTTATTTTAGTTAATTGAATAAAAAGATATTTAATTTATTATATAAATAAAAATTGATAATAATAAGAAATTTAACATACAATAATATTAAGAATAAATAAAAAATAAATATACACTAACTTGTTATAAATTATTGAAATTTTTTTATAAATAATATTAGAACACATATTTAAATCTTTATTTTTTTAATTAATAACTAAAACTTTTAACAATTTTCTCTCTCTATGAGATGATTTGTTTCTCTCTCTTTCTCTCCGTGAGACATTCATCCTTATATTCTTGACCTAATTCCTTTTACCTTCACGTGAACCATACAAGACAATGATGTCATAGAATCATCTTCGTTTCAAGATCTGCATATTCCAGAGGAAGATGATGTTGACCTTGTTCTCCTGGAAGAACTAAACCAGTCCATTGTTGAAGACTTCTCCCTATGCCTCGTTGGTAGGTTCCTTACAAATTGGATCATCAGAGTGGCTATTATGAAATAGCACATGGTTGAAGTGTGGCATCCTCGTCGTGGAGTGTCAATCAAAGAAATTGGTTAAAGCCTTTTCTTGTTCCGGTTTTTCCATCCACTTGATGTGCAACGCATTCTCAAATGAAGGTTGTGGTCCTTTGACAAGCACCTCCTCATTCTTGGTATTATCCAAACTGGAGAATTACCTAATCAAGTCCCCTTCTTCACAATTCCTTTTTGGATTCAGTTGCATAACCTATCGCATGGATATATGCCGCTTCTCGTGGGAAAAACATTGGGTGACCATATTGGATTTTTTTAGAGTATGACGAGAAAAACCCATCAAATTTCTGATGCACCTATATGTGTATCAGAGTTCTTGTAGATATCAGATCCCCCTTCAAGAAATCAAAACATGTGAAGAAACTCGAAGGTGACACTCATGATATCCTGTTCAAGTATAAGAAACTAGGTCTGTTTTGCTTTTACTGTGGTCTTCTAGGCCACCTTGATGATAGTTGTGACATTCTATTTTCCAAAGATCAAGATGATGGTCACCGTCGTTGGAGTGCAGAGTTACAGGCTAACACACGTGGCACTTCTTTGTTGAGATGATGGAGATTGTTAAAGATGATGGGACATCTTGAAGACTCCCGAAGATTATTTTAGTTTTGATGATGTATTATATAGATGTTGCTTAAGCCTATGCAAAAGGATATTGTATTGATTGTAATAGATATAGGCATGTGTGTGTGTTTGTTTATGTTTGATGATGATAATGAATGCTTAATTCAAGAACTAATCAAGTCTTTTAAGAAATCAAGAATTTAACTTTTTTTTAGTATTTCCATGTATAAATATAAAGTAATAGATTACCATGAAAAGGTAATTTACTATCAAGTGTTTAAACATAGAAATATGACTTGATTCAAATAAAGATTTTTCAAGGTAACATTGATAATCAATTACCATTAAGGGTAATAGATTACCAAGTCTATTATTGAAAAATGATATTCAAATGTCCTCTATGTTAATAGATTACCAAGTCTAGTACTGAAAAATGATTTTTAAGTGTTTTTTGAGGTAATAGATTACCAAAGTTGGTAATAGATTAAAACAAACTCTCTTGCTTGAAACAAGGCTGAAGAATCAAAGTTTTCATCGGGACAATCGATTACCACAGAATGAAACTCAATTCTGGATCTTAGAAAGCTCGAGATAATCGATTACTACATCCTGTAATCGATTACCATGGTAGTTTTATGTTCCTGGTTCAATTTTAAAGAGTTGGTAACATATTACCATATCAAGTAATAGATTACCTCTATTATTACTCTTTATAACTGAATCATGTCTTGCACTTTAAATACCTATCTTTTATGAAATTAAAATAGAACAATTAGATATTCTTTTTGAAAAAAGAACATTAAAGAAAAAAATTACTTTCAGAAACAAGAATCAAGGCTAATCAAATGTTTTTTTTTTCTAAAATACCAAAAAGTGCAAAGATTGAATATGAGTTCTTAAAAGAAGAAATTCAAGAAATGTATTCTACTATGAAAGATTAATATCTACACGAAATTAGGTGATATCTTTTTTATCTTTAACCTGTAATTTTCATTTTGAATAGTGTATCTTTTGATGATGTATTATATAGATGTTGCTTAAGCCTATAAAAAAGGATATTGTATTGATTGTAATAGATATAGGCATGTGTATGCGATTGTTTATGTTCGATGATGATGATGAATGCTTAATTCAAGAATTAATCAAGTTTTTTAAGAAACCAAGAATCTTATATTTTAGTATTTCCATGTGTAAATGTAAAGTAATAGATTATCATCAAAAGGTAAATTACTATTGAGTGTTTAAACATAGAAGTATGACTTGATTCAAACAAGAGTTTTCAAGGTAACATTGTTAATCAATTACCATTCAAGGTAATAGATTACTAAGTTTATTACTAGAAAAAGATATTCAAATGGCATCTATTTTAATAGATTACCAAGTCTATTACTTAAAAATGATTTTTAGTGTTTTCTGAGGTAATAGATTACCAAAGTTGATAATAGATTAAAATAGACTCTCTTGCTTGAAACAAGGCTGAAGAATCAAAGTTTTCATTGGGATAATCGATTACTACATGAGATAATCGATTACCACAGCATGAAACTCAATTATGGGTCTTAGAAAACTTAGGATAATCGATTACCACATCCCGTAATCGATTACCCTAGTAGTTTTATGTTCCTTGTTCAATTTTAAAGAGCTGTTAATAGATTACCATATCAGGTAATAGATTACCTTTGTTATTACTCTTTATAATTGAATCACGTCTTGCACTTTAAATACCTATGTTTTATGAAATTAAAAGAGAACAATTAGAGATTTTTTTGAAAAAAGAACATTAGAGAAAAAGATTACTTTCAGAAACAAGAATCATGGCTGATCAAAGAATTTTTCTGAAATACCAAGAAGTGCAAAGATTGAACATGAGTTCTTGAAGGAAGAAATTTAAGAAGTGTATTTTACTGTGAAAAATTAATATCTACACAAAATTAGGTGATATCTTTATGATCTTTAACCTATAATTTTCATTTTGAATGGTGTATCTCTTGAGATAGGGTGTCTCAATAAGAGATCATGAAATCTTGAGTGGGATTTCTCAAGTAATTTCTGTAGGGTACAGAAATTGTATGTGTTTTCAGTCTTGTGGTGTCAAGATTGATGTATGTTTGCATTCTTGTAATATTTTCTGTGCATGGAATGTAAACAATATTATAGTGAATGATCTTTGATTTAGTGGGGTGCTAAATCAGAGAAAATTGGATGTAGACCAAGTGGATGGTTGAACCAGTATAAATTTCTATGTTTTTAATCTTCTTACCCTTATCTCTTTAAGAATCTTGATAATTTCTTGATTAAAGAATTCAAAGATTTGTGAGATATGATATTTTAATTGTTGTATATACTCTGAATATTATTCTTGTAATTGAAACTGATTAAGAAATTTGTAATATAAAATCAACCTTGATTATAAGTGACTGTTTCACTACATTAACTTTGATATTCTGATACATTGGTAATGAACCTTGTAATCTACTGTTATTTGTTAAATCAAATTAAGTAAAGGTTGAGTGTTAGTTATCTTGGTAGGTTTTGATCAAGAATTTTTGAAATTAGAGTTATCTTAGGATAGAATCTATTCAACCCCCTTCTAGATTCTAGTTAAATGGGACCAATATGCTTCAGGGTTAAGATGGTTACGTGAGGAGAATCTGCATGCAAATCATGCACGTGTAAACAATAAGGGTTTTTCAGTAAATATTGGCCATCCAAATTCTGGTACCCATACAAATGATATTCCTATCCAAAAAAATTTGGACTCTAAGAAACGAATAGAACTAATGACTCAGATATTCCAGAATCCAACATGTTTGTTTTCGCAATCAACGCCATACCCATCTCACAGTGCAACCACCACACTTGCACTTTCTGCATCAACCCACAAAAATTATGCTGCCATGGATGAAGATTTGAATGACTCTACACTTACCCTAGGTAACAAAAAGCATAGCCATGAAGATGAAATATATAGTAACTCTCCCATGCACGAGCAAAGCCTTGTTAACAAAAGGCCAGACGACGATGATACTTCTACTTTCTCCAAGCCTTTTTTACTGACAGGCCTTGGGAACATGGCCTGCCAGGGTCAATGAGTTTTATAAGTTAGAACTGTCAGGGATTAGGCAACCTGAGTGTAGTTCCTACCCTGCTAGATCTCGTCCGTTCGTACCATCCAAACATGCTTTTTTTTTCTAAAACATTGGTACATGCTAAGTGTAATGATGAGATACATGCTCAATGAATGAATTTGATTCTTCTTTTGTAGTGGACAGCACTGGGAGGAGTGGTGGTCTTGCTTTATTTTGGAAGAAACCTTATTAGTGCACTTTCATAAACTACTCATAGAATTTCATAAATCTTGTCATCTCTTTATCTCACGCCCCTGCTTGGCGCTTTATAGGATTCTATGGCTACTCGAAGAGAGCCAACTGGAAAACTTCATCGGACCTTCTTCGTCATATTTATTTGGACACATCACTCCCATGGTGTGTCATGGGTGATTTTAATGACTTACTTTCGCCTGATGACAAATGAGGCCTACATGATCACCCCCTGGCTGATTCGTGGCTTTAGAAGCGCTATCATGGACGCCGCCCTACTGTACCTCCCACTAGAGGGCTATCGCTACACCTAGGTGAAGAGTAAGGGCTACCCACATCAAATTGAGGAATGTTTAGACAGAGCACAGAATTAGTTGGACCTCTTCCCTCATTGTCGACTTTAAAATGCAATAGCTGGGCAATCAGACCACTCTCATATACATCTTAAGCTTGCATGGCAGTATA